GATGAGATGTCTATGAGCCCATATGGCAACATATACTGCATTTCCACTGCATGGTACAGCATAGCTTCACTAAACTTGACTCACTCTTGTTTTATTTTGCATCAGCCAAAGTTGTGGATAGTACCTGCAGTGGCACCCCTAGATTTTTATAGGGATGGCCAGACCAAAAGCTATAACTGGATTTCAGGACTTCATAATGCTGTTGAAATATATAGGATAGTTGAGAACTATGTCTGTACGGAAAGTTAAAGAATCACATACTGATATACTTAGGTTTCGTATTTTACATTTGATATTGCTAATTATCTAATGTGCATAGACCAGCACTGATAAAATTAACGTTTTGAGTTCCACACCAATCCTATTTTAATGTGTTATGTTAGGCAATTCATTTTTCTTCAGATAGGCTGGTTGTCCTTTTCCTGAAACAGCTTTAAGTATACAGCTTTAATTTAGTATATACATTGTAAGGAACAACCTACTGGGAACATGCCTTCTCAAGTACAGGAGAGATTTTAATTTTGATACCTTGAGGTGAGAGTTGAAGGGAGACCTTTTAAAATCACTGTGCCAGTTATTCCCTTGCAAAAATTTAGCCAAACTTTGGAGCGTTATTTAGCCCTCATTCCAACAAGCTATGCTGACATGGTTGGATGACTTGGCTATGTCTATTTTTACATGTTCTCACTTAATTTGCATAGCCTTTAAATGTGTGCACCATAGCCTGTTAAAGACAATAATGTCGCACTTGTATGAGGGGGGGTCAGTACCTGTAGTGTTGCTTTCGTCAACGAAAAGTATGACTAAATATCGTCGTCAATGAACCTTTATCACGTGACGAAAACGAGACGAGATGCAACGTAAATGGTGGTCATGTGATGATAACTATAATTAAATATATAATGCAATATTGTTGACGAATAAAAACGAGACTAAATGTGGTTTACAAAATAAAATCTCTGCTAAAATGTCTCTTCATTTTCTTTGACCAAAATGAGACGAGACGAAATAACGTTATAATGTTTAGTCACGTTATTATTACTATTTGCAGTATTTCTGTTTCCTAGGCTGTGCGTCGCAGTGCGCAGACGGATTACAGCCGTAATGATATACAGTACAACATCACTCATTCTCATGTGATATTGCTTTTATACAGCAGTTCAACAACAGCTTAAACAGCAATGCTGAGTAAGGAAATGTTAACAAAAGGTGATGAAATAAATTATTTAAGTATGTTATGTAGCTCCGCGAAAAAAAAACAGTTCCCCCATTCTGCTGCCAGGCAACGCGGCACACACACCAGGAACTCTCAAGCTACTTTGTATTTACATTGATCTGCAACTGTGTAACTTCGTCCAGTTTGGCTGATGAAACGTTGGCAAACTTGGATGTTGGCACGGCCGGATTCAGCTTCCACTCTCCCTCATACTCATCAGTACCTCATCAGATGATCATTGATAATTTTTGACCGTTATCGTTTAATTTTTGCTCCTCTCCAGTTTGTCGAGGTCGGCTGATGTTACACAAACACACCTGGAGGTCTGCACAGTAGAGTCCTGGCTTTCCTTTTCCTCGTCCTCTCCTGACAACCACTCATAATTTAATTCAAATGTAATTTTGGGGAAAATATCTATCTTCTTGGTGTAACGCTAGTGTCAGTTTGTGTCAATGTAGCGAGTGTGACAGTTGGTTAATTAACGGCTGTATTTATATTTCCAACACCTGTGAGTGGAGTGATTTTACTGTTACAAGTCCCAGTGATGTTATACTCTATATCAGCACTCACGGAATGCCTCTCTTCCAATCAAATTACTCGGTCGGAACTAACTGTTGTATAAATAAATATATATAGCTCTAACTGGGAGCTAATTTAGTAAAGAAAATTTTGGTTTGGTTATACTATACTAGGTACTTATACTATATTGACTGGGTATAATAGAATTGCATTACTAAAAAGAGACTAAAATACAATTTTCATCGACTAAAACGAGACAAAAATAGTCATGGATTATTCTGACTAAAATAAGACTAAAATGCTCAGACTTTTAGTTGACTGAAACTTGACTAGACAAAAAAGAGTATGAACGTGACTAAAACTAATAAAAACTAAAATGACAGTTTGACACAAAGACTAGACTAAAACTAAAATTAAAACAGGCCGCCAAAAACAACACTAAGTACCTGGTACATTTTTTTGGTACCATCTTGGCCGGAGGTTCCAAGTGAGATGAGCTGATACTAAAAGGTAGAGTTAAAACACTGCAGACCACTAATTGATCAGAGTGAACTGTAACCAGCGTGGCACTTGACATCCTGCACAAACCTGCCATTTTGAAATAGTCAACTTACAGTCAATAGTGACCACATTTTTTTATTCGCTCACTTAAGATTGCAAAAAATTCCAGCCCTCAAACCAATGCCATACACTATGTACAGTCTGCCGCACAATTGACAGGTAAAAGGATCCAGTGAGTGGTGCGTTAAAGATGATGTCACGGCAGTTTCGCATGGTGTCGCTATGGCAATCAACCGGGAATCCTGTCTTCACTACGAGGGTACTGTCCGCAGTGGAAAACACAATCGAGAAAAGCAGTTGGTGCCAAGAGAGTTGAGTCAAGTTGAGTTTAGCTGCACCATGCAGTGGAAATGAGGCAGTAGTGCTGCCTTTTATATATGACATGTCAATAAGGAAGACTCACTTGTGTAACAAATTTGAACATGCTTTTGTTCTTTGGATGATTTTAGGGCTGCAACTAATGATCATTTTTATTGCTATTTATTTTCTCAGTTGATCATGGATTGATTTGTCTACATAACATCAGAAAATGGTTGTAAATGCTAATCACAATTTCCTGGAGCTCAGGGTGATGCCATCATGTGTTTTGTTTTGTACAAGTAATAAGCCCAAACTCAAAAATATTTTAATTTACTATAATAGTGAGACATTATGAGCAGCAAATTTACTCATTAAGTGGAAATTAGTGCCACCAGCTGTTTATCACAGTAACCTAACAATTATTATATAACAGCACTGGATGGAAGCACACATCAATTCACATTTTTGTTTGCTAATTTTCTGGAAATTAATTTACAATTTGCATTATATTTGGATGGAAACCTGACGTATGTCTTTTTCTAAGTCACAGCCTGCATTCCCCAGTGCCTACTGTGATGGTTCAATTCTGTTTTTTCTCCCGTACAATTATATACTGTATCTCCTCTACTCTCCTCCAGAAAAGTAGGTCTCGTGGTCGTTGGATGTCACCTCATCCGAGTCACAAACAGCAGCAACCGCCACAGTTCTCATTTTCTGTCATTCCCTTTACTCCACTCCTCTCCGCTCTCCCTCTTTTGAGGCATATGAACAAAATGCATCTAAACTCTGTAGCAGCACACAATCCTGCTACGTTTTTTCCCCATAAAAATGCCACCATGCCTTCCTCGCTCCGTCTGTGTCCCCACCCCCTTTAATGCCTCTTTAGCCCTGCACTCGGCTGCTTGAGTAATATTTATTGCTCAGTCTCTCTTAGTCTCAGTTTCTCCTTTTATTTTTCCCCTGAAACAAACAAGTCCAATGCCATGGGGCAAAACACCCCCAACGCCACCACCTCCGCCGCCCCTCCCCACCCTCTCCGCCCTCTGTTCCCTCTGCCCCTCGCTCCTTCAGCGCTGACAGATAGACAAACGTACTGTTCTCTCTTTCTTTGCCTTTCACCTCTCAAACCTCCCTCCATCCATCCTGCCGGACGGGTACAATGCAGGCGCTCTATCCTGCGGCAGGGAGAATGCAGCCCTGAACTAACAATATCACCAAGGCTGCCTGAATGCCGCCGAGTCCCATTGTGCTCTGTCAGAGGGGAGTTAACACCCATGTCTGAGCCCAATGAATAGTATTATTGTGTCTGAGACATGCACCGCACCCCCGGTCCCCATCCATGTCCCCCTAACTCAACTCGCCCCCCTCTCCCAAACTTGGTTCTCTTGTCCCAACAGTGTAACCCCCCACACCACTCTCGCACCCCCTTCGCTCTTTCCTTAACAGACAGCTCGAACTCCCAAAGCCTTGCCAGCCCACCGGCTCTAAACCTCCGCACTTTACTTCTCTATTCCCCTGGCAGTCGGCCCGTGGGTTTTAGTCTCTTTTTCAGGCCTGCAGAGGGGTGGAGAGAGGTGGACAGAAGGGCTGTCACAGCTCTGTGGTGGCTGTGGCGAGGATATTTTAGAGATCGTGCGGTTGGTGCGGCGCGGTGCAATGTGGGGTGGTGGGGGTTGAATTTGGCCACGGCTCTTTCTCTGTTGAGGGACACAATGGGACCATGAATCCTCAAAGAAATGTCCCCCCAACTGCTATTATCATAAGAAGAGGGCTGCTGAACCCATTTGAATAATTCTGGATGATACAAAAGCTGAGATGTTTTCTTTGACAAAGTTTCTATAGAGCACCACTGGTCCGGCCAAAACATTTCCATTCCTTCACACTCACTATGGCGCAAAGAGAGAAGGCTGAGGGAAGGGTAGTTTGAAAAATCCTGTCAGTTTTAAATGTTGCCTTTGTTATTTATAACCATTAAGGGCAAATAAATATACAACTCAGTGGGCTTGTGCGGTTTAGGAAGAGCAAAAGAAGGTGGTTGTTGAAGAGAAACTTTTCCTGTAAATATTTCTAATGTATTCTGTTGACGCAGTGGTGATTTTTATAATGGGCCCACTCTCGCTATATTTTGCTATCTGCAGCATATCACAATCTAATAGCTGAGAGTACCTTTGGCAGACAGTATCTCTTTGCCTGACACACTTAACTCTCAGGCCTCCAATCCCTGCAGTTTCTGCTCTCTAAGGTTAGCAGGTTCACATTACCGGCTGAGAGAGGATGCCAGAATCCTCACCCCCGACTTCTCGCTGATCAAAGACCAGAATTGACATTCAGAGTGGGTAAAATGCTGAAAGTTAAGATTAACTTGTTTTTTTCTCCATCTCTGTCTCTGGTTGTTTGTGTACAGCAGGAAGAGGAGGAGGAGGAGGAGGCAGTGGAGGAGGAAAAAGAGAAGCAGAGTGGGTGGAAGGATGGAAGGAGAGAAGGATAGAAGCCGTTCGAGGAGGTGGTTCGAAGCGGGTGAACCCAGAGCAGGTGAACACAGCTGTGGATCGCCATGGGCTCTCTGGCTGCCTTCCTCCTGTGGCCCCGGCGCTGCATATAGGGGTCCTGGGGAGCCGGCAGGGGCCAGCCAAAGCTGCGGCAGAGTGGGCAGGCTAGGCCAGCCAAGCCAGGAGAGAGGCAGGTGAGGCGGGTGAGCCGAGCTCTCATCCCCGCCGGCTAGGAGCCTCCGCGGCAGAGCGGAGTAGCGCGGAGCAGCAGAAATCAATACAGAGGAGAGAGGCTAGCAGAGGTTGCCCAGCACCGCCTGCAGGCCTCGGAGCCCAGGGACCAACCACCACCACTGCTCCCAGCTCCTCTCTCCATCTCTCTTTCTATCTTTCTCCAACAGTCCCAGCATCAGCCAGGGCCAGGGCCCTAACCCTGCAACCGCCCCACACGCAGTGTGTGTGTCAGTAGGTGCACATGTGTGTGTAAAATAGAGAGAAAAAGGGAGAGGGAAGAGACAGAGAGAGAGAGTCTTTGTGTGTGGTTCTGCCGGAGGGGTTTTTGCTGCGTCCAACACCACTTGATAAAACTTTGTCAGAGAGACACGGAGACAGCGAGGGAGGGAGAAACGGAAGAAGAATAAGACAGGACGTCGAAGGTCGCTTTTCTTCCAGCTCCCTTCCTCTTATTACTCATTCCACCTTAACTGTTTGATATGGATCCATCAGAGATGGTACACAGGACGTTTCTGCTCAGTCCCACTTCCAAGCACGTAGCACACAATATTCTTAAGATCTCATGAGCCAGGATGAAAGGACAATTTGAACTTTTTCTCTCATCCACCGTATCAGACACAACCTGTCTTTTCGCCTTAGATTTTCTTACCCTCACTACAGCAGCTCCCATCAGAGGATATGGCAGTACAGTATTGATCTATAAGGTGGAGAGGAAGGCGTGCCTGGGCTTTCATACCTCTCTCTCTATGTGTGTGGAAATAGCACCTGAAGTCCACTTACTGCTGTGCAGCAGGGATCCCATGGCAGCCCAAGTGAATGGCTGCTAATTGAATGAGAGATGAAAAGGACAGTAGTTGTAGCTGCTCAGTGCCCCCCACCACCCCCCACTTCTGTCTGTTACTAGTTGGTTTTTCATCTGACTTTTTTTCTCCTCCACGTTTACAAAAGTCCTTCTCCACACAAAGAGACTCGCTCTTCAGATGTTTTAGCAAAATTGGTTGTGACTAAAGTAAATTGGCAAAATCCTCAAGAATGAAAATATCTGGCTGCAGTGTAGAGGTGAATACCTTCCGTAGAAAACACAGGAGAAAAGATTTTTTTTCCCCCATGCACCAGTAGAAACATTCGGCTGAAAACTTTCTGAGAGGTCATGCCACAAAACATACTGTTCTGTACATATTTGTGGACGTCGAAGGACATTACAGGAGAGATGTACAGTTTGCCAAGCACGGAAACTTGCAGAGATTACAACGTGACTCATACCTCTTGGTGAGTACAATGCCCTCATTTAATTGCTTGTTTTGTGGTAAATAAAAGCAATTATATGATTCTGATAGCCACATTGAACAGAGCAAGGAGAATAGCAGGAATAAAATGTGTGTGTACCCACCTGCTGTAACAGTTATGATAAGATACCATCTCTGCTCAGAGGTGCGTGTGTGTTTTTAAAGTGAACACGGACACGTTTTGTTGTAGTTGATCTCCTCAGTCAGCTCTCAACAGGAGCCCTGGGCTGTGATCATACTGTCACTGAATGTTGGAGGAGTTCGTCGTTGTTGCCTGTACCAGGGAGGGTATTAAAGCACAATTCCCCGTCGCCTGCCAATCTCCTGGCACACAGAGAGAGACTGGCGCCTCTCTACGCCTCAGCCTGGCAGCGACCCATGCTTACAAAATGGCCGATTCCTGTCTGCCAGCTGTCTCCTCAGCCAAGATGGCGCTCGGTCGCTTTTTAATGCCCGCTGTTTGCCATCTGCCCTCTAATTGTTAACGGCTATGCAAATATCTTGTAATTGCATTTGCATGTGCTTGATACCTAACCCCTCCCTATCGGTTGTAAATAATAGCGCTAGCGTAAAAGAGGGGAGAAAAAAAGGATACACAATCCTGCGCAGTTGCTGATTGAATACACAGCAGGAACAATTAGCAAATGAATGTTGCCCTCCTCTTTACTTTGCTTTAAGCTCACCTTATGCAAATCATCGATGGCGTGCTCTTGCTTTTGATGCTAGCTGAAAAATGGAGCGTCACCCTGTCTTTCTCTCTGCGACTCGCTCGGAGACGCTCATGTGTCTTCTCATTGTGCCATATGTGACATCTGTGGTTGGCTGCATTACCAGGGTACCCTGCCTCCTCTGACAGGCAAAGCCCACACTGTAAAGGAGAGCAGGAGCGAGGGAGAGGCATAACATAATGACCTCATTAGCATGCTCAGCACTCCCTGCTATAGGCCCTGGTGCGCTGCTGCGCCGTGGGACCCACCGGTGTACGCCCTTCTCACAGCACTCAGCATGCAACATTGTGTTCTCCCCACACAATGCGGCGCTTCATACAGGCTTTATTACGCCTTGTCAAAGCGCAGGGGGATCAGGGGTATCAGTGCAGAAGCAGCAGGATACGGGCTGTGTACGTGGAACAGGAGATGTATTGGTGCTTTATGGTCTTAATGTGGTGTTAGCTGTGTTGATGGATCCTCTGTTGCTGCTGTTGTGCGTTGACACGTGTGTGGTTGTGTGTTTATGTTTGTGAGTGTGTGTCTCTATGGTCTACAGTTGTGTGTTTGTGCAATTGTCCGTTTCATTGTGAACTCCCGTGGCATTCGTGGCCGTTTTCACCTGTCAGTGCTAATTATTGGAGAGAGCGATTTGGCGAATTGTCTGTGTCCTGGAAATAGGCTATCATCCACTCTGAAGACCCTGCTGTATGGTATCTGTTGTCGATAGTAGCGGTGTAGCCTTGAACTTCACTGGAGGACAACACACACATACATGTTCTCTCTCCCTCAGAGGAGAGCCCATGACAAAAGGCTAATATTTCTAAATAGTTGCTTACGCTACAAGCAAATTACAGGCTATGTTTTGTCCTTGAAAGCTGTCAAGGGATTTGGGAATAAATTATTTCTTTAAGTTGCGTGGTAACTGGTAGCTGCTGTCATTTACCCATCCACAAAAGGCTGGTTCACCCCTGTTATCATACTCTCTATCAGGCTCAGGCAGTTTTAATCAAGCCTCTTTGTCTAATCAGCCCACAGTGACTCTGATGAGGCTGAGGTGGAGAGCAGGTTAGTGTAAAGTGCCCACGCTAGCTGTAGTTAGCCTGGAGGGGCTGCATGCTACTGTATCATTGTGTGGGGGAAAATGGCAGTCAAGAAGACAGACTGGCACGCTCAGATCTGCTCTCAACAACAATCAAGATGTTCTCGATTGAATTAACATCATTTATCCATTTTTTTAATGTAATTGACTCATGAATTATTATTTAGCAAATTCAAATTATGTGGAAGTTTACAGTGGTACACTAGCTCAAGTTCAGAATGAGTTAAAGAACAAGAGAGCGAAAGAGAGAAAATAAAAGAGACAGAAAAACAAATTAAACCTGTCATATAATCTTGAATGCATATGCAGTTTTGGCACTATTAAAGGGTGGGGTTCTCTTGATGGAGGGACCACGGCGGACAAGCCAAGGGACGTAGGTGTTAAGTCTTTCTAAGAAGAATGAGCAGTTTGTCTGATAAACTAGGTGGAGCCGTTTTATTCCTTATTTGCATATTAAAATCAAACACGGGGACCATATGCTTTATGAAGCACCCCAGATGAACATAACACCCAAACACGTATGCCAGTCAGCCGCCATAACGGCTCCATATGCGCTCATGCACACACACCGTATGAATACACACACACATGCTAATCCATATTGCACGGGTACGAATGTGTCCATTCACTCTTACTCTCAGGAAAAAAAAAAGGACACGCACTCCAACACCATCTCCAGCAGAAAGCTTTTATGCTAATAACAGTTATAGCCATGTGTGTTACTACGCTCCTGCAATTATGCATAATTCAACACAAAGAGAAGCGGCAGGATGGCACAGTGGACCTCGGTTTAGGTGGATGTACTGCATGTGCATGAATATAGTAGTGAGTGTGTGTGTGTATGCCGGAGCAGAGTGACAATATCCACTCTCATTCTTAAAGGCTCTCAGTCCAAAGACCTTCAACAGCAAAGACACATATAGGACTCTTTCATATGAGTCCTGTGTTCGAGGATTTATAATCAAATAATTTTCTTGATTACATAAATTATGAGCATCTGTCTAAATTATGAATATTAATGGAAGATTAGTAACATTTTGTTAAAAACAAAATTATTTTAATAAGATTGTTGCATTACTGAAACATAATTTTGTTAGACTTAATTGAAAGATCAAAATTTGGATATGGCCTCAACCCTTAGACTGAGACAGTCACATATAAATATATAAACAAATATTTATGGGTGTATTTACTAATATTTTGGTGGTGCTGCGTGAATGTGGACTGTTCATTTGTGTGTGATTGTCGTCCAGTCTGCTGCAGCTTTTCTCATTCAGACTGCCCACTGCTTTTTATTTGCTTAGGTATTGATTGAATGTGTTCCACCCACTGAAGTAATAGTTGCTGAAAGCATTTACAGCCATCGCTCAATTCATCCTGGCCCGTTCCACATGTCTTTGTTTCTTTGAGACAAATAAGTTATCGGTTCTTTCTCGAAGCACTTCATCGTTCAAATGAAATAAATGAAATTTGAATAGGCGGATTAATATCTTTTTGAGAGCAGCACAAAAAGTAAAGTGGTCGACTCCCTCGTGTGAAGATTTTCCTTTTTATGGCGTGTTATGTGGAGACAGGGACATTTATTTTGAAGAAATTACTGAGTCCAAGTGATCAGAGGATTCTTTTTTAATCAGCATTTTTCAGATTTTTCATGTTATATATAGGGAGAGATAAATATATGTTATATATATTATTCGATAGCAATAAAAGCTAAATATTCCAACCATTATTTCTGCCAAATTAAGTGTTCTGACATTTTGTATTTGTAGCTTTTCAATAATCCTGACAATTAAGACATCAGTTTGTTAAACAGATTGCCTGTCTGTAATTTAATGATGCATATTTCTTTTAAGAGCAGCCCTTTTTCGTGCTTCTGAACTGTAACAACAGCTATTTTGTTTGCCGAGACTCACTTGGCAGACCAAAATAAATTCATTCCATTGATACTCAACCAAATTCCTTATGTGAAACTATCCTCCTTAGGAAGTAATTCCTGAGTCAAGTGTTGCTGCTGCTGCTGTTTCCTCAGAGCTGCAACACTGAGCCCCAAGTCTGATTATAGACTCAGGGAAAAACAGTCAGGCATTTATCCAAGTCACTGATTATGTCATTTCAACAGGCTGCAAACACTCAGACGGGCTAGACAGCTCTGAGGGGAGAATTATGAAGCCGTAGTGGAATGGAGGCTGTATGAAAAGGAAATGAAAATGGAGTAGTGCTGTATGTGTGATTAAACTGCCTGCTCGCCTGCAAAAGGCCACGCTGCTGTAGCACAGGCCTGAGATTTGGCCGTAATGAAAATGTGAAGGTGGAGGGGTTTGAACCCCCTCAATGACGTGTACGAGCGCACACACACACACACACACACACACACACACACACACTGGCTTACACATACATTATACTGCGTACGTATGTGCTCAGGCTGAATGAGAGACTGCAGATGCAATTTGAGGCGTAAAGCAGCGAGGAATATTATTGTGTGGAATCAAAGAAAAGCGTCCTGAATTGAAAATAAAACATTCGGATTAATGTTTAGCGGGTAATTCATACAAACCGCAGAAAATCCCGGGCTTGTTGTTGCCCTTAGAAACAGGCAGACAGGACCATGGTGGCTGCATAAATATTAAATTGCACCATTCAGATGCAGAGACAGCATCCCAGTCATCAAGCGTGGGAACGGGCGAAATGATTAGGGGATGAGGGGTCTGTGCGGTGGAGGGGGGTTGCGGTTAGTTGGTGGCTAGACGCTCCAGCTGCACTGACTTCCATTCAGAAACAGGTTAGGAGGGACCTCAAGGGTCAAGGTCAGGGGTGTGTGTGTGTGTGTGGGGGGGGGGTATCGGTGTAGCGTAGAGTGGTGTGTGTGTGTGTATGTGTGTGTGTGTGTGTGTGTGTGTGTGGTTCATCTGCCGTTCATCCCCGGCTGGCTGGCTGACTGTCTGTAAGCTGCCTCTGTGTTTGCTTATTTTATAAGCTGCTTCTTATTGCCTCGCTTCAGGGACAACTTGAGCTGAGAAGCAGGGGAACCCAACCCCCTTCAGTCAGCCTCTGGCCAGTCTCCAGCCGGCCCTGAGCCAAATCGAGCCAGAAATCAGTCCTGCAGCCCAGTCAACCCCCTGGTCAAACAACCCCCAGCCAAACACAGTCAAACTCAGTCAGACACTTTGACAG